GCTGGGGAGGTGGCTTAGTGGTAGAGCGCTTGCCTTGCATGCTTGAGGCCCTGGGTTTGATTCCTCAGCACCACATAAGCAAAAAGAAAAAAGCCAGAAGTGGCGCTGTGGCTCAAGTGGTAGAGTGCTAGCCTTGAGCTGAAGAGCTGAGGGACAGCGCCCAGGCCCAGAGTTCAGGCCCCACGACCAGACCCAAAAAAGAAAGAAAGAAAGAAAGAAATACACTCAGGCTGGGAAGGTGGCTCAGTGGTAGAGTGCCTGCCTAGCATGCATGAAGCCCTGGGTTCAATTCCTCAGTTCCACATACACAGAAAAGGCCAGAAGTGGTGCTGTGGTTCAAGTGGGAGAGTGCTAGCCATGAGCAGAGAGAGGTTCAGTGACAGTGTGCAGGCCCTGAGAGCTCAAGCCCCAGGACTGGTGAGAGGGGGGGTTGGAGAGGGAGAGGGAGAGAGATATGTCCAAGTCACCTATGTCCCTGGGCCTTTTGATCCTCTTACTCTCAATTCCTCTGTCCCTAGGCCAGGACCAAGCTTGAAAGGTGGCAGCCAGTCCCCTTCTTACTCTGTAGCCTTTCCCAGTGCTCTGCGCCCTGACTCGTGCCATGTCTGTCTTTCAGTGTCACTTCCCTTCCTCACGTCTTTGCTTCAAGCCCTCTTGCCAGTGTCTGTGTGGCCTTTTGGCAGCTTTGGCACTGGCTCTGGGGTGGAGGGGGGACTAGAGGACCTCCTCCACTCAGACCATGTTCTCCCAGAGGTACCGCGGGGTCTTCGCATTGTAGACAGGCTCTGAGAGCGCTGCCTTGGTCATAAGTGAGAACGTGGGCGCAGGGCTCCTGGGCGGCAAGTGGACAGCTGCTTCCCCATCTGCTCCCTTGATCCAGGGATCCCTGGCCGGCGACCTGGGGGGGTGGGGAGAGGGGCGGTGGCGCTGGGCAGGATAATGGTGTTGTCCCGGGAGTTCAGTCAGCAGCCTCCAAACAGATGGAGGCAGGCATGATCCAGTTGAACAGCTCATTAGTTGGTCTAAAGCATGCTGTTGAGAGGGGGCAGCACCTTCGTGTGGGATGCGTGGGTCGCAGCTGAGGTGCAGCAGGCAGCCCTCCCATGGGGCTCTCCCCTCGTCCGCCCCACTCTGCAAAGCAGCCGTCCCTGGGGGGGGGGCAGTCCTTCATGCTATGGGAACCTGTTTCCAGTGGGAGGCTGTTGTCTGGGTGGGCATGGCATGGGCCCGGCACTGAAGGACGCGTGCCACGGAGCTCAGGATGATCGGAAGGATAACATTTAAGACTACAAGAGGGACTGGCTGGGATTGAAGAGGCTCAGTTCTTGTTTTCACATCAGCTCCGCTTTAGATGACTGAATGTAGAAGACGGTGGGGCCCCCCAGATTTCACCTGCTCCCACCCTCACCCCTTCCCTCACTCTCCTGGCTCTCATTGGCCTTTTCCCTTGTGTTCCGAACTTTCTAGCCCCACTTGTGGCCAAGTCAACCAGCCAAAGGCTTGACAGCTGTGGGCTTTGAGCTGGACTCCTGACAGGGCCAAGCTAGAGCGAGCTGCCGCTGCTTCCGGCAGGCTGGCAGGACATGGCGCCCCTCCTGTGCGTTCTCAGGCGTGTGCCCCCCGCTGCTGTGCCTGGCACCCCCGCCTAACGCATCCTCAGTTCTTGGCGTCTCGCCCTCCTGTGCGGCCACGTGCTATACAGCGACGTCGTTCCCAGGTGCAGTGAAGGGTTCGGGCTGGCGAGACACGGAGCAGGGCTCGGGTTTGGAGAGGTGGCAGAAAGGGCCAGCTGCACAGCCTGTGGGCTCGCTGGGGCTCGGCCGCCTGCGGGATGCGGGTGCGCGCAAGGGCAGTCTGGGGACGCGCTCACTCGCTGCGTCTTGCCTCCGTGTGAAGGCTCATGGCCAAGGCTGGACCCCACCTGCAGAGGCTGCGCAAGTCTGAGCCCCGCTCTGCCTTTGAGTGCATGGTCAGGGGGAGGGCTAGTGCTGGGGTTTCTTTTTTTGTCGGTCGTGAGGCTTGAACTCTGGGCCTGGGTGCTGTCCCTCAGCTCTTCATCTCAAGGCGAGTGCTCTGCCACTCTGAGTGGTTTACTGGAGATAAGAGTCTCACGGCCTTTCCTGCCCGGGCTGGCTTTGAACTGTGATCCTCAGCTCTCAGCCTCCGGAGTAGCTAGGATTACAGTGTGAGCCACCAGCACCTAGCACTGGGGGTTTCTTTGACAACACTTGTCTTTGGGGTTCATGCATGACTGGCTGAGCACCCTAGTGTTTACAGCTCTGTGTGTGTGTCCTAAGGACGTGCCGTTCTCTGCGCATGCCTCCCAGTCCTAATGAGCCAGTTCACGTGCAGGATGCTGCTCCAAACCCAGCCCCAGCCGGGAGAAAGCACCCGCACCCGCATGGGCTGCAGACAGGACAGTGGGACACTGCCTGCTCAAGGAAGGAGGAGGGACTGTTTCATGCATGGTGGTCTGTAAACGTTTGAAGGATGAATGCGGACCCGGGGCCTGTAAACTAAGTCATTGACAAAGTTGAAGTTTGCCCGGGCTGCGATCCTCCCTGTGACGCCGGCTGGCCACTTGCCTGGCTGAGTGAGGGAGGCCAGAACAGATGCCGGTGAGCCGGGGCTCAAAGCGCTCGAGCCTGGGTTGGGTAGGGGGGCGCGTCTTGCTCCAGGGATGGTGCCCAGGAGGCCGCCCACCACTCACTGCCAAGATTTCCAAGGTGGGAGAGGCAGGTGGGTTCTGGGCATGGTTTCTTGGCCTGACTTCTCCATGCTCCTTGGTAGAGAGGCACACACACACACACACACACACACATACACACACACAGCGGGGTTGAGGGTGAATCCCGCGGAGGCCTCTGTACACAAGTCACCATCCCTGCGCCACGGTCGCCACGTGAGGGCTCAGGGGCCTCTCTGGTTGTTTTAGAATTTGATCTGGGTGGGATTGTTACCAAAGACTCACTAGAAACCCAGAGTTGGCCGTTGCCTTGTTTAAGTTTTTAAAAATGTGTTTATGTCCTCGTCCCAAGCACAAAGAAAAAAATCTAGCCTATTGTGGGTCATAGATGGGTCAACTTGTGTCTTTTATTTCCCTCTTTATTTTCTTGTTTATGTATGTGTGTATGTATGTATACACACATACACACATATTGTCCACGCTGGCCTCAAACCCTAAATCCTCCCACTTCAGCCTTCCTCTTGCTGGGATTCTATGTGCACCACCAAGCTCAGCTTACTTCCTTTTACAAGTGCTTTAAACTACCTCCTGTTAGGAACTTACATCAAGTGACTGTGTTCGTGAGCTTTCTGTTACCATAGTGAAGAGAAGACGTTATTCAGCTGTGTGTTTGGGAGGCTGGGAATTCGAGCAGCATGGTCTGGGCTGCAGCACAGGTGCCTGACATCACCCGTGGAGAGTGCGGGGAGCGGGGCCGGGATTGCTGTGTTTACAGCAACAGGGTAGAACTTGGAGGTACAGGAGAGCCCCCTGCGGCTGTCACAAGGGCAGGCAGTAGCTGCGGGTGGCGGCCGGGGACAGGTCTGAGTAAGGAGCTTGCCTCAGGCCCCCCCAACTACTGCCTGGCCACCCCGCGCACACGCATACTCTAGAAATACTGTGCCTGAGGCCTTGCCACGTGTCAGCCATGTGTCAGCTTGGCCCTGTTCCTCCTCCTCCTTCCCCACGCCCCGTGGGTTTCTGTGGCCTCACGTCTGCACCCTCCTCCCAGGACTGTACCATCAGCCAGGCTGTGAATGCAATGTTGTGACGGAGTCTTTCTCGCTGTTGGCAAGCCAGGAGCTAGGGTGGGGCCTGGAGTGCAGATGTGTGCGGGATCTAGTGCAGCTTCCTGTGAGGAAGCCTGTGCTCACCCACCTCACCCCTGCTGCAGAGAAGGGGCGGCACCGCCCATGCTCATGTAGGTCCTTCCTGCCACACCCCTACCTCCCGGTGTCTGGATGAGCACTGGGGGAGAGCCACCAGTGGATCTACGTATCTCACGTGGAGACTCGATGCTCTCCTGTCTTAGAGCCCACCTGCCCTGCAGCAGTGCATGGGAGGCACGCACTGCCTTACGCGGTCACCTTCTCCTCACGGCACTGTCTAGGTTTATCCATTGAAAGTCACACGTTTTCTTGTGTAAGTCAGTAGTACTAAGTTCTCCCACTCATAGAACCTACTCCTCAGCTGTGGGCAGTGCTGAGCATTGAATGTGCTAGGTAGCAGTCCGCCACTGCGTTCCTCCCCCAGCCTCAACAGCTGATTATTGAATACCTGTTATGTGCTCATTTCTTACTTTTAGTATTAGGGCCACAGGATTAAAAAAGATGGCTCAGGATGCTGTACTCTCCCAGCTAGAGATGGACAGGAATTAACCAAATAATCAGGAAATTGCCTGCTAACCTGGCAATGATGATTTTAGACTGGGTGGATAGAGAAGACTTCAGAGACTCTGTGTGTGTGTGTGTGTGTGTGTGTGTGTGTGAGTGTGTGTGTGTGTGTATGTGTGTGTGTGTGTGTGAACACACCAGTATTGGGGTTTGAACTCGGGTCCTAGCATTCTTACTTTGCTTTCTCTGATGCTCTATCACTTGAGCCATACCTCTACTTCAGCTTTTTGCTGGTTAATTGGAGAGTCTCAAGGAATGAAGGAGTTTCCTCCAAGGCTGGCTTCAAGCTGTGAGTAGGTAGGATTACAGGCATGAGCCCCCGAGCGCCCAGCGGCTTCATAGACATGAGAGAACTGGACATGGCAGGGCTTGGGAGTATATGGGCATTGAAGGCAGAGGGAGCAGCAGGTACAAAGGCCTTGAGGCTTTTCATTGTGACTTGCTTCTTTAGCTAGAAAATTCAGACATTAGAGATGTGACTGGCCGGGCAGGTAGAGCTGTTTATGTGTGGTGTCAGGTGCATTGAACAGGCTGCTCCGGGGCTGGTGGAGTGTTGCCCTGGTGGCTGCTGCCCGCATGACGGCCGGTCTTCTTCTCCGCAGCTCTACGTGTCCTCGGAGAGCCGCTTCAACACCCTGGCGGAGCTGGTTCACCACCACTCCACCGTGGCAGACGGGCTCATCACCACACTCCACTACCCCGCCCCGAAGCGCAACAAGCCCACGGTGTACGGCGTGTCCCCCAACTACGACAAGTGGGAGATGGAACGCACAGACATCACCATGAAGCACAAACTGGGCGGCGGCCAGTACGGGGAGGTGTACGAGGGTGTGTGGAAGAAGTACAGCCTCACCGTGGCCGTGAAGACCTTGAAGGTGGGTCTCGGGGCACCCGGCCAGCGCTGGTGCACATGCGCCCGTCCTCACCGGTGCTCAGGCATCGGCGTCTCTGTTGGGGCTGGGTCGTCTCCACCTCCATCTCCACGTGTGTGGGAGCTGGCAGGTGCTTTGGAGAGATGAGTCACACTGGAAGGTTCCTTGTTCCAGGTGTGCGGCACAGAGAGGAGGAGAGGTAAAGCTGGGAGCTCAGAAAAGAGGAGATTTCACTGCAGCGGCCCCTGGTTTGGGGGTGGGGGGAGGTCGTGGGCAGATCTGAAGACAAGGTGGAGGTGTGGCTGCAGGCTACACCGTGAGCCAGACCTCCGTGAGCAGGTGCTAGAGCCGCCCTCCCCCCTGACTGGACAAAGAACAGTGTGTGTGGATTGCGGGCACACCCTCCTGAGGTCCTCAGAGATCAGTTAGGGTGCCAAGGGAAGCTTCCATCCTCACTCAGGCCTCTGTTGTTCCTGGCACGAGCCGAGCTTTCCCTGTGGCAAGAGTGCCCCCTGGCGTTGACCCGCGTTGCCTGCTGCCCTTGTGATTGAGTTCCCACAGCAGTTTGTATCTGTTGGGAAAAAGGAAGGGACTACATAACACATCACCAGGACACAGACCCACGTTTAGGCGTGTCTCAGATTTGTTGTGGTGTGGCTGACAGCACTATTTGCCACTTGTCTGATTCCTTCCTTTGAAGACACAGTAAAAAGGAACTAGAAGTGTGCGCCAAACACAGAGGTGGCTCCTTTAGGGCAGAAACAATGTTCTGGTCTTCGGTGGCATCGAGACGTGACGTTCAGTGCCTGACTGCCTTTCAGCCGTTTGGGCACAACCGATACTTTGGCAGGGGTGATGTGGTTGAGGTTTCCTTGAGCATTTCCTGGCCGTTTTCCAGACAAGACTTTTTTTTTTTAGTGAAGATTTATAGAGTGCTAGCCAGGGTCTACTTAGCCCTGAGATTTCAAAATTAAAACTTAAAGAAGAATTAACCTGACCATTTTTCAGCGCAGGTCTTGGGGGCGTCTGGGTGGCAGGAGGAGACAGAATAGGATGGCTGTGGATGTGGTTGGCGTTGTGCCAGACATGCCAGGGTGGTCGGGGCAGGAAGTCACAGCAGCCTAGAACTCCAGCTCGGGGGGCAGGACCGTGCTGGGGGGTGGGGACGGGTGCTTTCATCTGAGTTTTGCAGAGACTGCTCGGTGGAAAGCTCCAGGGCTCCACAGCTCCCACGCACGCCCACAGTGCCGTCCACAGCCCAGCTTTTCTCTGTTGGTGACTTGGGCTCTGTGAAAGCCACGCATAAGCCTCAGTTCCGCCTTGCTCCACAGACTTCCCTCTCTGCAGAGCACCATGATAAATGCTAGCAGCCCTGGCCCAGGCTTCATTTCTTCCCCCAAGTTCACCAAGCACCTGTCTCCTCCCAGCTCTGTCCTGCTGGTCCCCCAGGTGACACCTCCAGTGCTGCCCGCCCCTCCCGCAAGGCCCTGCACACTCCACATTGAACTTTGAGCAGAGGAATGGGAGGCGGGCATGGTGGTGCATGCCTGTGGTCCCAGCTACACAGACAGGGTTGGTAGGAGGTACAAGATCTGAAGCTGGCCCTAGGCAGAAGCAGACCCTATTTGAAAGTTTAAAAAAAGCTGGGGGCTGGGAAGGTGGCTCAGTGGTAGAGCGCTTGCCTTGCATGTTCAAGGCCCTGGGTTCAATTCCTCAGCACCACATAAACAAAAAGAAAAAAGCCGGAAGTGGCGCTGTGGCTCAAGTGGTAGAGCACTAGCCTTGAGCTGAAGAGCTGAGGGACAGTGCCCAGGCCCAGAGTTCAGGCCCCACGACTGGACCCCCCCAAAAAAAATAAAAAATAAATAAAAAAAAAAGCTGGAGGGGGGCTGGGAATATGGCTTACTGGTAAAGTGCTTGCCTAGCATGCGTGAAGACCTGGGTTCAAGTCCTCCGTACCACATAAATAGAAAAAGCTGGAAGTGGAGCTGTGGCTTAAGGTACAGTGCTAGCCTTGAGTAAAAGAAGCTCAGGGATAGTGCCCAGGCCCTGAGTTCAAACCCCAGGACTGGCAAAAGGGTTAGGGGTGTGACTCAAGCATGAGGCCTAGTTCACAACTCTGTACTTCATCCCCTGTCCCCCAAAGACAGCTGTGACATTAACGAGACTCATGCGATGACGGATTTCAGTTCTGTGGGAAATGACAGAACTTCGTTACAGGCAGTGCGCTCCCGCCCCCAGCAGTTTCACCTTCCCTGAATCGCATGGATAAGCGTGGGCACTGGGGTTTGGTTTTGTTCTGTTTTTGTGCTGGTACTGGGGCTTGAGCTCAGGGCTTGGGCCCTGTCCCCAAAGTTCTTCACTCAAGGCTGGCACTCTACCACCTGAGCTATAGCTCCACTTCCAGATTTTTGGTGATTAATTGGGGATAAGAGTCTCATAGACTTTCCTGCCTGGACTGGCTTTGAACCTTGATTCTCAGATCTCAGCCTCCTGAGGAGCTGGGTTGACAGGCGTGAGCCACCGACCTCAAGAACTGCATGTGTGGTTAAAACCACATTTGGACAGCAGAAGACTTTGGGGCAGCTGTTGCTGGCTTGCTCCCTGTGTGTGGACCGAAGACGTCACCTGTGTTAGCTTTGTGGCATGGTATCTCTGGGTTTAGTTTTTCCCTGTGGAAATTGGTTTTATTGGGCAACTCCAGGGACAACCAAAAAAGAAGGGGTTCCGTGACCACACTGGTAGCTGGCAGTCACACATGCAGTGGCCTGCTTTACGAGGAGGGTCACATACAGCTCTCCCTGAGCGAGGCGTGCTGTCGCCCAGGTCACTACTGCTGAGCCGCCTGAACCCTCGCACAGGCACGCTCTTCAGGCCTCCCAAGGGACCTGACTTCTGCTGGGCTCTCCATTCGTGAAGAGGCCAGCAGCAGCTTCTACTTTACTGCCTAATGGAGGAATTCTCTCTCTGTGTTGGTTTGTTCATCTGTGTTTTTTTTTTTTTTTAACCAGTCCTGGGACTTGATCTCAGGTCCACTTCCATTTTTTTTTTCTGCGTATGTGGTTCTGAGGAATCGAACCCAGGGCCTCATGTATGCGAGGCATGCACTCTACCACTGAGCCACCTTCCCAGCCCGGGATGATGAAAAATTGAAACATAAAAGCAAAAGAACATCATGGGGCATTGTAGGTTTATGTCTATATAACAGCGCCACACACCTGGCTGGTTGTTGGTAGTTAGATGGCAAAGTGAGCTGCCTGATTCCAGCAGAGGGAGACAAATCCACACTAGTTTTTTGCTGAAAGAAACTCAAAGAATTACTGCAGCTTCTGAGAGAGAGACAGAGACAGGCAGGCGGCGGGGGGGGGGGGGGGGGGGGGGGGACTTTGGAGCCAGGCTCTTCCCTCTGATGTCTGCTGGGTCTTGTGGTAAAGCGCACACAGCACATGCATGCGTGAGCTGCGTCTCTGCATGGTTTGTCACCCCGCGCTTTCAGAGCGCCTCTCCCTGGTCTTGTCTCGCTGGCTTCTCTGGATCGCGTGGGCACATCCCACTGGCCAGGGAGGCTGGCGAGGCCCTGCCCTGCATGGGCTCGGCCCGCAGGGCCCCCTGTGGCAGGCACTGCTCCTGCCTCGGCCATCGGGCTTCCACCACGAACACCAGAGCCAGCGCCGGTGAGCTCACCCAGGGGCAGAGGGCACTGGAAGAGGACAGTGGTGGGGACATGGAGCTGAGACGCCATCCACCCTGCCCTCCTGCCTGCCCTGGCATACTGACCACCGGCGGTGCGGGGGGGGGGCGCGGAGGGGAAGCCTAGGAAGTCTGTTGCTATAGTTGGTGGCGGCGGCGGCTGCGGTGGCAGTGCGGGGTGCGGGGGGGGGGGGAGGCGGGGGGATGGGACATTAAGGACAGCTGGCCTGCCGTTTTAACATTAGTCATGCCTGGCTTGTAAACATGGCTGACCAAAGCAAGAACATGCTAAGGAGAGGTTGTCCCGTCCACCACCGAGGACCTGGGATGGCCACTGCCCTGTCCCGTGGACAGAGCTTTGTGTCCTAAAGGGGCAGGAATGGAGACGGGTCCACATAGAAGCTAAGGTGTGCTAGTCTTCCCCGCACCCCATCTGCCTTGACACGCAGACTCCTTGCCGACCCCCGAGGCAGCCCGCCCGCTGCCTCCTCTGCCTTTAGACCTAGCTCTCACCACCGAGCAAAGCCTGTTTACTTTCTGCCCCTGCCATGAGGGCCAGCTCAGTGGGCAGTGTCCACTGTCCACTGTCTTGAGGGCCACGGCACTCAAGACATCGGACCAGAAGTGAGCGAGGCCTGTGCACATGTAACACGTCCATGTAGGCGTCCACCGAGCCCCAGGCATCCCGACGGTGAAGACCCGTAGCATAAGCCTCTGGAACGCTGCCTGCAAAGCGGTCACCGCCACTCGTGAGGGCCATGGTAGAATCAGGGTGACAGACAAGACGGGGGTGATGGTGCTCTTTGTATAATGTACAGACCCTTCTAAGGGAGGTGCTCTGGAGATTCCTCACGTGGTTTGGGTTGGCATTAAGCCCTGGAGAGCAGACATTCCATGGGGAAATGGAACTCAGAAACTCCAAAAGCTGGGGAGGTGAATGGAATCTGCATGCCTACCCGTGCCACCCAGCGCCAACAGGTGCCCAGGCCAAGAAGCAGAAGTGCTGCTAGAAAAGGCACAGTCTTTATGCCACCATGATGGCACAAAGCACCGTGATGTCCACAGCACGGTGGCTGTGGCGGCAGAGGGGGCGGGCGGGCTGCGTGGACGCGGGTGCTCAGCCTGTGTCCGCAGGCGGACAGAGTTTCAGCAGCTCCCGTTGCTTCTGCAGGAGGACACCATGGAGGTAGAGGAGTTCCTGAAGGAGGCTGCGGTCATGAAGGAGATCAAGCACCCCAATCTGGTGCAGCTGCTGGGTGAGGAGTGTGCGGCTCTGAGGGCACCGCTTTTTTAAATATTACTGAAGTAGTTGTCCAAAGGAGTTGCCATTTAACAGTGGTTTGTGAATATAATGCCTCTTGATCAATGTTGCCTCTTTCAACATCTTCTCTCCCACCCCTCCCCTTCCTCCCCCCCTTCCTCACTCTTCTTAATTTTGTAGGATATACATTGAATTCTTGTCTGCATCCCCCCCCTCCTCCGTCTCATTCATCTGCCCCTGTCCCCTGGACCCCATCCCACCCCTTTCAAGTCCCTGCTTCCTGGTGTTAATTTTGTTCAGCTTTGACTTTGCCTTTCTAAGGAATGACACTGATTTCTCCCTTGAATCTACCATATTTCTGTGAATACATTTGTAAACACTTGCATACCACCAATGTGTTTACTTACAAATTGCTAAGCTAAGTGTAGCTTCCACACATGAGGGGAACCTGCACCTGTGGAGGACACGACCTGAACAGGTCCTCACATGTGCACGGGGCTCCTGAACGGGCAAGGGGGGGAGGGCGGTAAGAGAGAGTTCCTACCTTATCAGACAAACCTCAGAATGGCTCCTGAGACTTAGTGGTCAGGGGTATTTTCACCAGAGTGGCTGTTGATGGGAGGCCTGGCGGGGCTTAGGGCATGATGGGCCATGCGGCCTGTCTTGCCTTTGGACTCAGTGGCAGTCTCTCTGTGTAAGGTCAGGTTCATGGGCTCCAAGGAAGCGGGGGAGAGCGTGACTCTGTCCCGCCACCGGCAGGGCTATTGGAAGCAGGCACAGGCCCTGGGGCAGAACCAGCTCCATTTGGAAGCCTCTTCCTTGGGTGTCAGCCCTTTTCTTACTTGCTTGTGCTGTTGACAGGGGTCTGCACCCGGGAGCCCCCGTTCTACATCATCACCGAGTTCATGACCTACGGGAACCTGCTGGACTACCTGCGCGAGTGTAACCGGCAGGAGGTGAGCGCAGTGGTTCTGCTCTACATGGCCACTCAGATCTCCTCCGCCATGGAGTACCTGGAGAAGAAGAACTTCATCCACAGGTAGGGCTCTCTCCTAGGCCTCTCAGTGTGAGGCGGCGGCCTGGGTCTGAAGCCCTGGCTCCGGTCAAGGTCCAGCTCTCAGCCTCTGATGTCAGTGCTGCCAGCCCATTGGCCCGTGGACCGAAGGCATGTGCTAGGTGCCACCCATGACTGCTTCAAGCAGCTGCCGGGCCTAAGTGCTGGGCCAGGGCCGGGACACGGAAGCAGCCAGTCCTGGGGTAAGAAGTTCTTCACTTGTACCCGTTTTGGACTCTGTGGAATACTAAATGGAGTTCAGAAAAGGTGTACTTGGAATAACCCCAGTGCTCCTTGGTAAGAACTCCTGCCTGTTGCATTCACGTGGCTTTTACACAAATTCCCCCCTGAAAGCCAGGGAATGAAGTCTGTTTTCCCTCCCTTCTCTATTACTGTTTCACTGTCCATTTAACTTGCTGTCACCGGGCTCCGGGATGGTGCTCGGTCGTCAGCACTGTGCGTGTGCTGACCTAAATGAAACGTCTTCGCTGTTTTGTCAAGCCTCGAGCGTGTTGACCTTCAGGCGTGCCACAATTATCTTGGTCTTTGCATGCTTTGCCGGTGGAAGTGGCTTCCTAGCAGTGCTGGCCTGTGCGGGCAGAGCCTCGTCGACTTCACTGGCCTCTCTAATGCAAGACGTTCTCCACGCCACTGCCGTGACCTTTCCTACCAATTAACTCAAGTGTGAAACCTCTACATGAGATTTCCTAGCCAGGAACAAGACGAGCACGTGTGGCGCGCTGGCGGCTCCTCGGAGGCAGAGCCCATGCCAGCTGTTCCTGTCACCCAGCGCAGTGATGAGCCAGCCCTCTGATGCTACAAATTGAGATTTCCTGACTTCAGCTCTGCTTTGCATGGCTAGCTCCGTTCCCTCCCGTTCAGGCAAACAGAAAGCGCTTTACCAACAATCCTATCAGCCACAACGCTTCTGCGTTTAATTCCTCTCACTGCCAGTGCCCAGGCTTCCGCATGCAGCCCTCACTTATGCTGCCACCTCCTCTCCTCCTTGCCTTCCAGTTTGCCTTGTGATTTCATGGTTAACATCCATGAACCAAAGATTAGACACCTGCCTGCCTCCTGGGGAGAAGCAGGCAAGGAGAGGAGGCGGATGGATTATCGGCGGGGGAGAGGGGAGTTCTAGGATAGAATGGTAAGCATCAAGAAGAAAGAGGGAAGTCAGGCACATGGGGAAACAACGCCTGTCCTGTGAAATCTGCCAGGATGGATGAGACAGTTTCTTGCAGTGGAGGGCTAGGCTAAGTCTGTCCCCACTGCCTGGCCCAGTGTGGCACTTGAGCTCATAAATGCCAGGTTGGCATGCTAATCTGCTGGTACCCGGCAGGCCGGAGATGGGCCTCTTATTATCTTCATTTTACGGATGAGGTGACTTAGTGTCAGAGTCACTAAATTGATCCAGGTCATGGGGCCGGGGAGCCCCCACGCAACCCTCTGCTGCCTGTCACCATGGTGGCAGCTCAGGGCGTGTGCCGGAGGGCTGGCACTGCTCTCCAGCGGGCCGAAGCACCGCCTGGGCCAGGCTTGGGTTTCCCAGTGTCATTGTACCCACACTGCATGCTGGAGAGTGCGAAGCTGGGAAGTTTGCCAGGAGTGCTCACCATGGTGCTCACTGATGAACCGTTTCCTTTCTCAGAGATCTTGCTGCCCGAAACTGCCTGGTAGGGGAAAACCACTTGGTGAAGGTGGCTGATTTCGGCCTGAGCAGGTTAATGACAGGGGACACCTACACAGCCCACGCTGGAGCCAAGTTCCCGATCAAGTGGACCGCACCCGAGAGCCTGGCCTACAACAAGTTCTCCATCAAGTCTGATGTGTGGGGTAAGGGCTTCCGGGGCCCCGCGGCCCTGCTTCCCCTCTCCTAGCCTTTCGCTGCGCTCTTCTGCCCTTCTGACTTCATCCTCTTTCCTATTGCTGTGCTTTCTCATTTTAAGGTCTCACCTTCCATTTTCTCTCCAAAATGAAATACCCATTGAGTAGGCTTTTTTTTTTTCTAAATGATCTATAGTAACTTCCTTATTTTAATACATGTCTTCCTTTCAATTGTGTTGCTTAGATTTACCAGGGCAGCTAGCTGATCTTTCAGCTAGGTACAGGGAGCCACGGGTTGGTTTGGTTTTTGTGTGTATATGTGCCAGTCCTAGGGTTTGAACTCAGGGCCGTGGTGCTGCCCCTGACCTGTTTGTTTGTCGGTCATAGGGCTTGAACTGAGGCCTGATCACTGTCCCTGAGCTTTTTCACTCAAGGCTAGTAGGGTACTTCCATTTCTTGGCTTGAGCCACCAGCGCCTGGCTCCCTGGGCTGTTTTTGCTCAAGGTTAGCACTGTGCCACTTGAGCCACAGCTCCACTACTGACTTTTGGGTCATTAGTTGGAGTCTCACAGACTTTTCTGCCTTCGCTGGCTTCAAAACCCAGTCCTCAGATCTCAGCCTCCCGAGTATGTGAGCCCCCATGGTTGGTTTGGTTTACATGGCAAACTAAAGCATATGCTGAAGAAGATAGTTCAGGCTGGGTACTTGGTGGTTCACACCTGACATCCTAGCTACTCCGGAGGCTGAGATCTAAGGATCGCCGTTCAAAGCCAGCCAGGACAGGAAAGTCCATGAGACTCTTATTTCCAATGAACCACCAGAAAACTGAAGTGGTGCTATGGCTTAAAGTGGTAAAGTGCTAGTTGAGCGAAAAAGCTCAGGGGCAGCACCCAGACCCAGAATTCAAGCCCCGCAACACCCCCCTCCCCTGGCCAAAATTTAAAAAAAAGACAGTTCCATACTGAGCCCCCTTGTCCCCACCACCCAGTCATTAGAAAACTGCTTCATGGCGATGTTGGGTCCTCTGTGCTCACCCACTTCCTGATGCTCATTATTTTTTTTTGCGGGGGGAGGGGGCGGAAGTCCAGAAATTATTATTACCTTTTCAGAATTATTTCAGTATTAGTTTCTTACAGATGTCTCATTGTTGTAACCATGATGCTACCCCAAACTTGACAGTAATTCTGAATATTTGAAAATGTCTGGTGTGTCTCCACTTGCAATTGAATCATGAAAGTCAAACCTCTTTTTACAGTTTGACCTGAACCAAGTATGGTTCACACATTGTGTTAGTTCATCTTGCCCTTAAGCCTGAAGCCTTCTGTCCTAAATTCCCCCATGTCTATATTTCCCCACTGTGTATTGAAGAAACACTCACAGCCCCCCAGAGTTTCCTCCATTCGGACTTCGCCATCATGTCTCCATGGTGTGGCTACCAACAGTAAACCCCTAGAAAATGGAAGGCGAGGTCTGGGGAGCTTTTTCTCACTGTCAGAGGGAGGGGCCTGCGCCGAGGCCTGCAGATACATCTTGTATGTATCTTGTATGTGATGTATATTTTTTTGCACTTACTCATTGGTTAGCAGTATATACTTTGATGAAGAATCTGCCCCTCATCTGCTATTTTCTTTGCACAAATGTGCATACTGTCTGCACAGGCGCGTGGCAGCTACGTGTGAGCACCTCACCTCCATCCACCACGTCACTTAGTGACGAGCTGGTCTCTAACCACTCTTCAGAACGAGCAGTCTTGTGCTATGATTATGAACTTTGGATTTAACTGGCACGTGTGTTTCAGTTGGCTGCGGTGGTGCTCCTTGTTGATCCCCGCCCCGTCTCACCACCGTTTGATGGGAACGCAGCTCCCTTCCTTTGGCCCTGCCCTATAGTCCCCCACCCCCCTAACCTCTACACTCTCTGCCCCACTCCAGACCTGAACCACCTGCTTTTCTCCAATGATGCCTGGTTCCATTTGTGTGGAGTGGAATTTCAAACCTTCCAAAGATTTCATAAGTCATTTATGAAATGAGAATTAGAGGAGGCTTGAGATAATCCTGGAGACCCAAAAATGAGAGGTAGTGGCCTGATACAGGCACACAGAGAGCTGTCCACAGAGCCTGACTTCCAGCCTCGGGCTGTCCACCTCACGGCCCCCAGATGAACTCTTTCCTAGAGGGGAGACCTGCTGGCCTCCATGCCTCAGCTGTAAGAGACCCCAGGTCTCTGCATCCTGTTCTGTGCTGGGCAGGTTGTACTGTGGTGACAGGGCCACCTCCCAGATTCAGCCCCTATAGCCTGGCACCATGGCCAGGGTAAGACGTGACCTGTGTCTTGAGCACTTTTTTTTTTCCTTTTCTTTTAGCGTTTGGAGTCTTGCTTTGGGAAATTGCTACGTACGGCATGTCACCTTACCCGGGAATTGACCTGTCCCAGGTGTACGAGCTGCTGGAGAAAGACTACCGCATGGAGCGCCCCGAAGGCTGCCCCGAGAAGGTCTACGAGCTCATGCGCGCATGTGAGCCTTCCCAGCCCATTTCTAGAAGCCTGAGTGTGCTTTGTGGGAGATTGTGAGTGTGGGGGCTACACCTAAGAAGCAGCTGAGCAGTCCGGAGCTCTCTGTTCCCACCTGCAGAGCACCTAGCAGGGCTCCACTCCACACACTGTTTTCGATGCGTCTGTATCTTTGTTTACAGATAATGTACACAGGAATTGGCCTGCCTGCCCACCTGCCTGCCTGCCTGCCTGCCTGCCTGCCTGCCTCCCTCCCTCCCTCCCTCCCTCCCTTCCTTCCTTTCTTCCTTCTTTCTTTCCTTTTTTTAGTGCTGGTGCGCAGGCTTGAACTCGGGCCTAGATGCTATCCCTTAGCTTTTTCACTCAAGGATGGTGCTCCACCATTTGACCCATAGCTCCATTTCTAGTTTTAGTTGTTAAACTGGAGATAAAAGTCTCATGGACTTTTCTGCCTAGACTGGCTTTAAAACCTCGATCTTCAGATCTCAGCCTCCTAAGTGGCTAGGATGACAGTTGTGAGCCACTGTCACCCAGCTGTTTTTATGTCTTGAATCACAGATGGGATAGATGGATTCTAGACCTGGGGTTTTTACTAGTAAACTCCAGTTAACCTCTGGGCCTGACTGCAAATGCTGTGCTAGAAAAGCAATAAACACCACACCTACGTGGTGGTTACCCAGTTCCATTTACATTGTTGACATAGGTATGTGTGGGCCTGTGTGTGTGTATCTGTGTACCTTCGTGGTTTTGATCATCCGGTCATTTCCCTAGCCTTTGTTACCTAGCAGTGCAAGCAGAAAGTGTTGCTGTCTGTGTCCTGCTCTCTCTCCCTCGGCCTGGGCCCCAGGCAGCTGGGCCCTCGCCCTCTGGGGACAAGTCCTGGCTCTTTGTAGAAGTAAGGCCGGAACACACATCCTCTCACACGAGGACCTCTCTGCCCTGGGGCTACCAGTTCCAAAGGCTGACCATGCACCTCAAAGAACCAGGTGCATTTTAAACTTCAAAATAGCTCACCAAGTGGTCTTCCAAAAAAGATGTATGAATTTATACTCACGTCAGAGGTATATAAGGAAAAGAAAATGGGTGGGGAGAGTGACTTTACATTCTTACCAGCACTGGTAGTTCTCGATCCTTTTATTTCTCATTTTAGTCTTAGTTTAGTCAGTATGTGTAGGTGAGCATGGTAGTGTATGCCTGTGGTCCTAGCTTTTAGGAGACAAGAGACTTGAAGTCAAGAGTTGAAGACAGCCATGAGTCCAATTCTCAGTACTAGCACATACACAAAAAAGAGCATTTCAGACTTTGGAAATCTTCCAGTCAAAACAAAGATAGAAATAAGCTGTTTGCCTTGCTGTTTCCCTCTCTGTCCTAGAGCGGGGTTGGGACAAGGTTTGTAAAATGCAGTTTTCGCTGTCAATATCTCTCAAGATGTGCAACCCGTATTCCTGCCAGAGTGTGATGTGTACAAATTCTTTTTCTTAGTGCTGGTCCTGAGGCTTGAACTCAGCTCCTTGGTACAATTTCTCAGGTTTTGTTCCTGAGCTTTTTTGCTCAGTTCTAGAGCTCTACCATTTGAACCACCACAGCTCCATTTTCAACTTTTTGGTAGAGATAGAAGTCTCATGGACTTTCCAGAGCTGGCTTTGAGCCATGATTCTTAGATCTCCACCCTCCCGATAACCAGGATTACAGGCATGAGTAACCAGTGCTTGGCTACAAATTCTTAATATCTGTAATAGACCGTAAGGGCATCTGTCCTTTCAACGTCTCAGTGTAAGGTGTTGGCAGAGTTGGCATATCTCTTCCATCCAGGCCGTTGCTTGGCTGTTAGCAAGGCCTCACACGTGGTCTCTCTTGGGACTCGTCTGTCCAGGTTGGCAGTGGAGCCCCTCTGACCGGCCGTCCTTTGCTGAAATCCACCAGGCCTTCGAAACCATGTTCCAGGAATCCAGCATTTCAGATGGTAAAGTCTCATCCCCAGTGCCTGGTATGGTGGGCAAAAAGTTGGGTGGGGGCAGCTGTGTAGGTCTTTAGTTCACTCCTGGCCAAAATAGTAAGCCGCACAGTTGTCTGTGACCAGGAGCCCGCACAGGGACCGTGGTGGCGTGCTGTCTTTTGCCGTCCTGCAGGGTTCTGCAAAATGCTAAGGTGTTTCTCCAGCATCTGGTCCCTCTTCAGTAACTATGCAGCTGCCCTCTGTTAGCTTAAAGGGGAAGGAAAGCTCAGTCCAAGCTGGCCTCTGACAGCTGCTGGCTTCTGTGCTGTCTGATTCTTAGAAGTGGAAAAGGAGCTGGGGAAACAAGGCGTGCGGGGCGCTGCCGGCGCCGTGCTGCAGGCCCCGGAGCTGCCCACCAAGACCAGGACCTCCAGAAGAGCTGCTGAGCACAAAGACTCCGCCGACGTCCCCGACACACCCCACTCCCGGGGCCAGGGAGAGACTGGTAGGTGCCCGCCCTGCCCCAGCTGTCCAGGACAGGCAAATAGCCCCCATCCAGCTCTGGAAGGAGGGAAGATTCTCCGCTGCTCCTGGAGCTGGGGGCTTGCCACTCAGCGCAGACAGGCAGAGGTGTTGGGATCAGAGCTCTGAGCCCTGCTCTGCAGGCCCAGGAGACACCTGCGGAGCAGGGCCAGCATCCCTGTGGTTTCTGGAAAGAGTGTCCAGATGCTTTTCCCAGCTGCCAGGGGTCCACTGGGGAGGGCCCGAGAGGTGCCACGGAGGGTCGAGTTAGCACACACGTGGTCCTTCCTGCATGTGGACGCTGCGCGAAGCCAGCGGCTGAGGCACTGGGCTCACAGAGCTGCCGCGGACCCAGATGAGGAGTGGGCAGCACCGTGCTGGTGAGATGGAGGGAGGGGGGGTGCTCTCCATACACCCCATTTTGGAGTTTTCGCTTTGTTTTGTTTTGTGCCAGTTGTGGTACTTGAACTCAAGGGGCCTGAGCGCTGTCCCTCAGCTTTTGTGCTCAAGGCTAGTGCTTTACCACTTGAGCCACAGCTCCACTTCAAGTTTTTTTGGTGGTTAATGGGACAATCCTCAGATCTCAGCCTCCTGAGTAGCTAGGATTCCAGGTGTGTGCCACCAGTGCCTGGCCAGGGTTTATATTATTATTATTATGCCAGTCATGGGGCCAGAACTCTGGGCCTGGGCACTGTCCCTCAGCTCTTCAGCTCTACCACTTAGCCACAGCGCCACTTCCAGCATTTTCTGCTTATGTGGTGCTGAGGAATCGAACCCAGGGTCTCATGCATGCAAGGCAAGCACTCTACCACTGAGCCACCTTCCAGGCCCCTTATTATTTTTAACCGTTTAGTCCTGTTAATAAGAAGCTAGCTGTCCAGCCTGTCTGTAGGTGCATACATGTTATACAAAGTCTGTGTGAGCTGCCATCCCACAAACAAGCGTGGCACAGGGCCATTTGCCCTTTCTCCCTTCCCTTGGTTGTCCGGGTTTCAGGGCAGAGGGGAGGCAGTTGTACTAAAAGCAGGCTACGAGCCATCGTGGTGCTGTGGCTGTGTCCACCGAGGGGGCCCAGTGTCACTCAGTGATTCTGCCCTGGCTGGCACAGTGCATATCACCAGGCCTGCAACTCCTTGCCGCCCCCTGATGAAGGTTCTGGAAGGCCCCTCCCTGGTCTGGGTGTTCTGAGGCGCCTGATGTAGTACCGGCGTGGCCGGGACCCTGTGTTCTGAGTGCGGGTCCGGCAGCATGGTCCCCAGGCAGGCCGGAGCTGGGCAACAAGCCAGGTTCCACATCCACTATCACTCGTGTTCAAAGACTGCCCACTGAAAAATGTGAGGACATCCCTTCCCATTTCCCGTGCATAAGGGTCCACTGTTGGGCCCCACGGTACACGGACCCCTCCCTCCAGCTGTGCCTCTTGGGAGCCTTAGGGCCAGCTGTTTGCAAGCCACGGGCCTGACCCATGGCTTGGCCTTGTCACTTTTACCGACCACAGTGACACTAAAGTGAACCCATTGGGCTGCAAGACCAGGCCATCGGCCTTCTGTGTCCCAACCTTCCTGAGCACATCCATGGCTCCTGACCCCGACAGTGGCTTGAGTTCGGGGCTCAGGTCAGGCCGGACCCCTGTGAGCGCCGCCTTCCATATCTCACTGACGCCTGCATGGCCATGGTGTCCTGGCCTGACCTGGCCTGGCCCGGTGAGAAGTGAGAAGCTGCGGAGTGTGGGTGGCAGAGCTAGTCCCCAGCCGGGCCTGCGCGAGGCCGGGTGCCGGGTCCGAGGTCCCATGGCGAGCATTGGTCTGGAGTTGTTCATGGCTTCTCCCTGTGTTTCAGAACCCCTGGACCACGAGCCTGCCGTGTCTCCTCTGCTCCCTCGCAAAGAGCGGGGCCCCCCCGAGGGCGGCCTGGCGGAGGACGAGCGCCTCCTGCCCAAAGACAGAAAGACCAACCTATTTAGCGCCCTGATAAAGAAGAAGAAGAAGATGGCGCCAGCCCCACCCAAGCGCAGCAGCTCCTTCCGGGAGATGGATGGGCAGCCGGAGCGCAGGGGCGCTGGGGAGGAGGACAGCCGGGAGATCAGCAATGGGGTGCCTGCGCTCGCCCTCTCCGATGCAGCTGAGGCCACCAAGTCCCCGAAGTCCAGCAATGGAGCCGGCGTCCCCAATGGGGCCTTCCGGGAGGCAGGGGGCTCGGGCTTCCGGTCCCCGCCCCTGTGGAAGACCAGCACGCTCACCAGCAGCCGCCTGGCCGCCGGAGAAGACGAGGGCAGCGGCGGCGGCAGCAGCAGCAGCAAGCGCTTCCTGCGCTCCTGCTCTGCCTCCTGCGTGCCCCACGGGGCCAGGGACACGGAGTGGAGGTCGGTCACGCTGCCTCGTGACCTCCAGTCCACGGGGAGGCAGTTTGACTCATCCACTTTCGGAGGGCACAAGAGTGAGAAGCCAGCCCTGCCCCGGAAACGAGCCAGCGAGCCCAGGTCGGACCAGGGGGCCCGGGGCGTGACGCCGCCGCCCCGGCTGGGGAAGAGGGGCGAGGAGGCCGCCGACGAGGTGCTCAAGGACCCAGCCGAGCCCAGCCCCGGCTCCAGCCCCCCAACCCTGACTCCCAAAGTCCTGCGTCGCCAGGCCACCACGCCGCCTTCCGGCCTGCCCCACAAGGACGAGGCCGGGAAGGGCAGTGGCTTGGGGACCCCTGCTGCAGCTGAGCCAGTGTCCCCCAGCAGCAGAGCGGGTGCTCCCGGGGGCCCCAGCAAGGCGCCCCCAGAGGAGTCCCGAGTGAGAAGGCACAAGCAGTGCTCCGACTCGCCGGGCCGAGACCGAGACCGGGGCAGGCTGTCGAAGCTCAAGCCCGCCCCGCCGCCGCCGCCGCCTGCCGCCTCGGGAAAGTCCGGGAAGCCCACGCAGAGCCCGGGCCACGAAGTGGCCGCTGAGGCGGCCTCCACCACCAAAGCAAGAGCCACAAGCCCAGCCGTGGAGGCTGCGAACAGTGAGGCCGCCAAACCCAGCCAGCTGGGAGAGGGCTTCAAGAAGCCCGCGCCCCCATCTGTGCCAAAGCCACAGTCCGCCACCAAGCCACCAGGAGCTCCCACCAGCCCAGCCCCTGCGCCGAGCACCCTGCCAGCAGCCCCCTCTGCCCTGGCGGGGGACCCATCCTCCACCGCCGCCTTCATCCCCCTCATTTCAACCCGTGTGTCTCTGCGGAAGACGCGCCAGCCCCCCGAGCGCATCGCCAGCGGCGCCATCACCAAAGGCGTGGTTCTGGACAGCACGGAGGCGCTGTGCCTGGCCATCTCCAGGAACTCGGAGCAGATGGCCAGCCACACCGCCGTGCTGGAGGCCGGCCAGAACCTCTACACATTCTGTGTGAGCTACGTGGATTCCATCCAGCAGATGAGGAACAAGTTTGCCTTCCGAGAGGCCATCAACAAACTGGAGAACAACCTCCGGGAGCTGCAGATCTGCCCAGCGCCCTCGGGCAGCGGCCCGGCCGCCACGCAGGACTTCAGCAAGCTCCTCAGCTCGGTGAAGGAGATCAGCGACATTGTGCAGAGGTAGCAGAAGCCAGCGGCCACGCCAGCCGGAGCCGCCTGCGGCCCCCACGTGACCCACAGGACCAGCAAGCCGGCCTGGGCTGGGGTTCTGCCTCAGAGTTTAGCTACTACCTACACTGTGCACCAGCCACCCCACACCACTCACCAGCTCGGCTCCCTGGGCCACCTGAGCCCGGGTAGCATCTGTGGAGTTCCCGCCTGTGGCACGGACGGTAGCTGCCACGCGGGGCTCACCGGGCTCTGCCCGGAGCTTCCCACCCAGCTGCGAGGCCCGCGATGGCAGTTGTGCCTGGCCACTCTGTCTGTCTCCATGGCTTCACACACACACACACCTTGAAGAACCACCCTGGGGTGTGCAAGGCAGCGCTGCCAGCCGGTTGCCCGCCCTCCCCTGCCCGGGCCCTGCGCCAGTGCTCCCCTGCCCTGAAGGACAGCTGTAGATTGGAGGGACTCGGGGTGCTAGGGCCGCACAGCTGCAGGGGGGCGCTGAGGGCTGGAGCAGCCGTGGCAGGCATCCGTCCTCTCGCGGGACCGCACTGTGAATCCTGGATAGAAAGCTTGAGTCAGGGGTCCGGGCCTGGCCGGTGCCGGCCAAACTCACCAGGGCACCAGGGACCCATCTTGTACACACCTGGGTGCCCAGAAAGGTCTGGATTTCTGACCCATCCCCTTCCTTCCCCCAACTCTAAGATAAAGCGGGTTCCTGTCGGGCCCTTCTATGGCCTCCTGGAGCTCCAGGGCAGGAGGCTGGGGTGGCCGGCTCTGGGACCTTGCCACTGTGAGCAGTGTCCAGAGCTGGCCCCACTTAGCCTCGGGTTTCTGTCAAGTGATCAGGGTGTGTTGGGAAAAACCACAAACACGGGAAACCCAGGAAGTAATCAGAAGTCCCGGGACTAGCCAGGAGCAGAGCCAAGGGCAGAGACTGGCACAGAGGCCGCCTTGGCCGTGGCTGCCAGCCGTGACCCCGAGCAGCCCTCCACGTGGGTCGGTGGCCAGGAGACACCTGTCACCCGGTGCCTCGGCGCCTCCTCCCACAGCCCATCCATCCGCCCTCCAGAGCCATGTTTCCTGGGGGGGGGGGTGTTCACGTGGCCCACACGGCCTGCCGTCTCTGTGCCCCAAAGGCTGCTCGGCAGCCCCAGACAGGCAGTGCCACACCGCCAGCGGCCTTACAGACAAGCCAGATGTCCCCCCAGACACCAGACGCCCCCACCCGACCGCCATGTCCCCCAGGTACTGGTCTCTTGTTAACACGACGTGCCACTATATTTTGCATTTATACTTTGGTATTACACTCTTTTATAGACGTGCTCTTTTATAAATGATGTGTAAATAGTGTCCCACCGAGCTCCCTTCTGGAATGCGGCCGTGTCCCTCTTCTTTTCTTGGTCCAGTACATTTTGTCCCTGTATATGATTGTGTTTTTGAATTCGAATCTCCCTCTGTAGTATTTTTTGAATAAATACATGTTTACAGAATTCCTGGCAGACGGCTTGTCTGGCTGCTACCTCGAGGAAGGGGTGGGGTGAGTTCCACTTTCCCAGGGGCCAAGGCCCAGCTCGGGGTTCCACAGAACAGAGCAGGGGTGTACCCCACCCCACCCAGCTGCCTACGTCACCCGGATGCCCGCACCTCCCAGCTGCCTGCGCCAGCTGATGCCCGCACCTCCAGCATCCTCATCCTTCAGCCTGGTGCACAGGCGCGGTGTACGGCTCTACCCAGGCCTTTCCTGGGTCCTGGGCACTCAGCCTCCCAGAGCCACGGAGCGTTGCCTGTGCCCTCGCGTGGGCCGCGTCCGGCGGGCTGCTCTGCCGGGCAGGGCCGGTTCCCTCCTTGCTGCACCATTCCCGCCGGCCTCAGCTCACTCGCCATCCCTCCGATCCTCATGCCGGGGGGAGGGGGGAGGGGGGTTGACGGGTGTGGACTCCCACGCTGGCCCCTGAGAGCTGGGGAGGGGTCGCTGGGGAAGCCCACCCCTCCCCCGAGCCCCAGGGGAGCCGCTCAGCGTCCCACCCGAGGCCCTGCCTGGGGGCGTGGGCTGGCTCTGGCTCCTAGCCAGGTGGGTGCTGGCACACTCTTGGTTGGTGACACTTCCTACACGGGTGCCGTGACAGCTTCCACAGGTGTCCTGTGTCCCCACATGGGGCCCTTGTACCCCTCCCCCGACGAGACAGGTCCCTTTGAGGGGCGCAGAAGCTAAAGCCCAGAGACAGGAAGCCATTGGCCAAGGTCACACGGCAGGTGTCAGCTTGTGCCTTGCAGAGCAGACTGGCTTACAGCCGCTGCTCTGCTCACCCCTGTGGCGGGCACTGGCAGCCGCAAAGTCCACAGGTGGGGGGCAGCAGCCTCCAGCAGGGCCTCAGTTGCTTCCAAAAACGTCACCTTGGCTAGTGGAGACCCTAGGTGGGACCCGGCTGACATGACATTGTCCTCATCACTTCTGCCTTCTGCCTTCTGCCCTGGTCACCTGAGCCCCCGGCCAGGCCTCCTGCCCTCTGTGGGGCATCCCCAGGGGCCCCAGGAGGCGTGGCTTCAGAAGCACCTGGTAGGGTTGGCATCCTTAGAGGAATCTTTGTGTGTCAGTGTGCCAGCCCTGGGCTTCAACTCGGGCTTGAACTCAGGGTCTGGGTGCTGTCTCTCAGCTTTATTTTGCTCAAGGCTGATGCTCTTCCACTTGAGCCACAGCTCCACTTCTGGCTTTTGGGTGGTTTATTGGAAAGAGTATCAGCTGGTTTGGAACTGCATTCCTCAGATCTCGGCCTCCTGAGTAGCTAGGCTTACAGGCGTGAGCACCGGCGCCCGGCTCAGGAATCTCCTGTGGCATTTTTGGCACTGGGTTAGGGGGTAACGGCTCCCTCCTGCTGACCACAGCAGCAGTCTCGGGGGCCCATCTTGTGTATTTTAATATTATTTCAGACACTGTCTATTTGAGCAGCTAGCTGTCTTTAGGTGGACTCATGGAGAGGAGGCGTCCTTTGTGTCTACAGTAAACTCTGCATGGCTCAGCATGCCCCAGGCTGGGGCCGAGGAATGCTGGTTTCCAGGCCTCTGGAGTGGGAGGAACTTGAATCTCTGGCCGCAGCGTGAAGGCTTTCCAGAGTCTGTCTCGCCTTGGGCAGCGGGCAGCGGGGAGCGGGGTGGGCTTTCCCGGTGAGCAGTGGGCCAGGCCCAGACCTCGGCCACGCCAGGGCCAGGGGTTGAAGAGGGAGTTTAGCCAGCGCAGCAGCAGCTGTTTAGCAGATTCGTGCCCTTGGTTGTCTGAGTGTTGGAATTTTCAGGGTTACACGGAGCTCGGCGCACACGCCAGCTGGAGGGAATGGCTGTGCTGCTGTTGTTTAGTGGTGAAAACGGGACGATAGTTTCTTTCTTCTTCCAAAGCCTCCCCCGCCCCCATTTGCTTCAGCTGTCTTCTCCATCAAGGTTAACTGAATCTTGCTAAATGAAGAACCAGCCAGGTTAGGGGCACAGCTTGGTGATGGAGCCTGCCCAATATGCTCTGGCCCCACACCCAGCATTGCAAAATAAAGAAGCAAAATAAAATAGAAATCAAACCCAGACAGGACATGCCCACGCGGAACGTGAGCTGTGCCCAGACAGGATGTGCCCACGTGGAGAGTGAGCTGTGCAAGACGCTCGCAGGGCCCACGCGGAGCGTGAGCTGTGCCCAGACAGGACGTGCCCAC